CACAAGACTTGAGAGCAAAATGGAAGGATGCTACATAGCAGAATGCTGAAAAGATTTGCACCCCCAGTGACAGGGCGGTTACTATCAAAATTGTTTTGGGCCAAAATGCTCTGTTCTTGATGCCAATAATGGATTGTGTCAGTGGAATTATTGCCAGTCACCTGACTATTTGTCACTGCATTCGGCATTTAACCCTAAGCATAAACATTGCTGCCATGAACATAGCTATCCAAGATTTTTGGTAAGTAAGTACTAAACCTCTCACTGACTTGAGGGATTCAGAAGCACCAAGTGTGTAGTTCACCACAGCACTATTGCAATAGCCAAAGATAACAAGAACTGGCTATCCAGTTAATTACACAGTAACAATCACAACCATTTCCCAAGCAAGTGCTAGGAGTGGAATATATCTGAATGCAGAGAAGACGAAGCCAGACATCTTTTGATCTCTGAGAGGTACTGGTCAGATCTGAGAAACAGAGGGATAAAAGCAAAGACTAGACCAGGGGATGAAAGAAGGAAACCACTGATTTACATTCATGGTCAGCTGATTTTCTCAGCTTTACTTCCCCCTAGCTCTTAGCCTTAGGCACTTAACATGAAATGATACCACACAGGAGTGGTCTTGAATGGACCCTGAAAAGAGTAAGACTGTCCCAGAGTTCCTCATTCTGTGGGGCCAAGAAGGCAGCAGTTCTCAGGTGGAGTAGCTCACTTCCGTGGCCTCAAGACAACTGCAAGAAATAGCAGGGAAAGAAGTAACTGAGCAAAGCTTCTCCTTCTCCTTCTCCTTCTCCTTCTCCTTTTCCTTTTCCTTTTTTTTTTTTTTCTTCTTCTTTTTTTCTTTTTTGTTCTCCTCGTAAGCTTGCTCCTCTTCTCTGACAGGCACTTGAAGATGAGTGTTTTCACCCTGAGCCAGAGATGGCACGCAGGTAAGAGGCCAAAAACTGTGTCTAGGGTGAAGATCTCTCAATGCAGCTACTGGATGGCTGCCTACTTCTTTCCATACTTTTCATTCCCTGTGCATTGGTGAGGCAAGTTGGGCTGAAGGCATGAGCTGTGCCTCCTTCACTGGCGGAACACATACATTTTCATCTTTGGGGTCAATTCAAGATCGTCAGCTTCAGGAAGACTGCTCTGGGGTATTCCCAGAGTAACAGTTGAGGAGAGGAGTTGGAAGGAATCTACAGAGTTCATTGTGTCCAACTTCCTGACTACTTCAGAGCTAGCCAGAAGTTCAAAGCACATTCTTAATGGCATCATTCAGATGTCTCTTGAACACTGAAAGACATGGGGCATCAACACCATCAAAGTCATGACAGGTACACCAGGGAAGTTAGCACACATACAGAGTGTAAAGCAGGTGACCACAAGGATGAGAAATTCTGGAACTTTGGGAGTAGAAGTACAGAGAAAGTGACAATATGAAGTGACAATAAACCAGGAACCGGCATGCAAGGGTTGGGGAGAGATAGATTAGATAAGACTTGAATACTGTAGGATAAGGGGGATGGAGGATGATAATGTTAGAAAAGAGCTTGGCTTGTTTAGTCAAGCAACAACAGCCATCTAAAGAAAATCTCACAAACAGAAAAATCTTGAGAAGAGGAAATACATTTCCTGGATGCCTAACTGTGCGACCTGGTTTAGGGAACCTGCTTTGGCAGGGGGGTTGGTCTCGATGATCTCTGGAGGTCCCTTCCAACCCCTACAATTCTGTGATTCTGTGATTCTGTGATTCTGTGATTCTGTGACCTGATAATTCTACACTTGTCAGAAAGAGATTTATTTTTTGGAGATGCATGTGTTATACTTTGGATGCAGGGACTCAATGTGTCATTAAAAGAAGGATATGCAGAAGGCCAGAGAGGATGAATGTATGAGAGACAGGGAGAGGGAGACAGAAGTAAGGGAGGAAGCACTTTGAGAAAGATGACTGAAAACTGTCAGCTCAGAGAACTGCTTTGAGGAGTGGACAGAGACACATTAAAGTCTTCAAAACCTAAACACTAGCTGACTGAGCTCTTGGGAATTCAAAGGTGCAATCAGTATACTTTTTAGTACAAGATGGACATGAAATCCCAATACAAACCATCACAGGAGGAAACTACTGTCCAGTACATCTAAACAATCAGTAAAGATGGTAAAAACCCAGGGAAGGATGACATGGTTGATAAAATGTACTAACTAGCTTCCGTATGTGGAGTAATTAAACAAAGACTCTTCAGCCTAAGGGATAACATGATAGGTGCCTGTAAAATCACAAGTGGCATGAACATGGTAAATAGGAAATAACTACACATTATTTGCTTTTGCATACAAGCAGGAAGGCATCAAATGAAAAAACAGGAAGCATTTTGCAAGCAAATGAAAAGGTAGCTTTCCCCTTTCTTAACTCATAGTAAAGTCAGCTAACCCCTAGCCACAGGATGTTGTGGGATACCACAAGTTAACTTGCATTTAAAAATTCATGAACGAATTCACAGAAGAAAAATCCATCAGAGCTATTAAAAACAAAACCTCATCTCTGGCTCGGGAATTACCCGAGCCACAGATTCCTGGAGGCTGAAGAGTGTTTTGAGGAAGTCTCACTACTTCTGCCTTCTTCCCACACCCATCTTAAGTCATCTGGCCTTGGCTGTCCTACAAAATGAGATACTTGGTTAGGGATGGAACTTCAAGCTTAACTCAGCCCATGGTTGTGTGGTAACAGCAAATATAAGACAAAGAAAAATGTGATTAGAGTCATAGAATCATAGAATCCTTAGAGTTGGAAGGGACCTTTACAGGTCATCTAGTCCAACTGCCCTGCAACGAACAGGGACATCTCCATCTAAATCACATTGATTAGAGCTCTGTCCATCCTGATCTCGAATGCCTCCAGGAACAAGGCATCCACCACATCTCTGGGCAACCTGTTCCAGTGCCTGTCCACCCTCACAGTAAAAACCTTTTTCCTTATATTCAACCTAAATTTACCCTCTTTAAAGTTTGAAACCGTTTCCCCTTGTCCTGTCACCACAGATCTTGCTGAAGAGTCCATCCCCTTCTTTCCTGTAGCTCTCCTTTAGATACTGAAAGGCCACTATCAGGTCACCTTGGCGCCTTCTCTTCTCTAGTCTGAACAGCCCCAGCTCTTTCAGCCTGTCTTCATGAGAGGGATGTTCCATCCCTTGCATCATTTTTTGAGGCCCTTCTCTGAAGGCGCTTCAACAAGCCTCTTCTGAAGTGATGACTCTACACCTGGATGCAGTACTCCAGGTGAGGCCTCACCAGGGCAAGTAGAGGGGCAGCGCCTTTCAACACTCAGCTTTCATTGGTAGTGGGGTTGCCTCGACCCAGGTGCAAGACCTTGCACCTGTATTTGTTGAACCTCAAGAGGCTCTCCTGGGCCCACTGCTCAAGCCTGTCTAGGTCCTTCTGGATGGCATCCTGTCCCCTGGGCATGTCAACTGTACCCTACAGCTTGGCAACATCCACAAACTTCCTGAGCGTACACTTGATCCCACTGCTGATGTAATCGATGAAGATATTAAAGAGTATTGGCCCCAGCACCAACCCCTGGAGGACACCACTTGTCACTGATCTCCATCCAGACACTGAGCTATTGACCACCACTTTTTGGATTCAGTCCCACAGCCAGTTCTTCGTCCACTGACAAATCCACTCATCAAATCCATATTTTTCCAATTTTCCCAATTGTGGGGTACTGTGTCAAAGGCCTTACTGAATTCCAGATAGATGACATCAGTGGCTCTTCTTTTGTCCATTGATACAGTTACAGCATCACAGAAGTCCACTAGGTTGGCCAAACAAAATTTTCCCATGGTGAAGCCGTGCTGGTTCTCTTGTATCACCTCTCTGCCTTCCATGGGCCTTAACATAGCTTCCAGGAGGATCTGCTCCATGGCCTTTCCCAGCACAGAGACGAGATAGACAGGTTTGGTAGTTCCTGGGGTCATCCTTTTACCCTTCTTAAAAATGAATGTGATATTGCCTTTTTTCCAGTCACCAGGGACTTCATCTGACTGCCATGACTCTTCAAATATCATTAAGAGTGGCTTGGTGACTACATCAGCCAATTCCCTCAGAACTCTGGGATGTATCTTATTCCTGTGGAATAAGTGAAGAAACTCCATGTGTTATAAGCGGAGTCAAGCCCAGAATTTAGAAAATCTGACAGAGCATTACCCATTAACTGGAAATAAGATATGCCAATCACCAGTCATGGAAGCACCACTGAACAATAAAGGAGTCGGAGTTTCATTTCAAAACTGGTATATTTGAACATCTGTGATACTTATAAGGCTGTAATGGGCTGGAAAGACAAGACTCCTTGTCTCTTCTGTGACTTATGTACTTGCAATGTCTAGCCTCAGAAAATCGTTAAGTACTGGCACTAAGGACAAGGCAACAACAAACGTATTTAAAAGAGAATATGTAGCAACCTGTGTGGAGCTTGAAGGGAAGAATCCAGGCTGCTGTCAGTCAGGGATAGAGAGAGCATCAGGAAAGTCAGTATGTGCTGGGGAATGCTAGCTGCAGCACAGCAGTTTTTTCCCTTTCTCTTCTACTATAAAGTTTTCAGTACCATTCTGATACTCACAAGGCTCATTCCAGTACCTTGTCTAATGCCTTCTGTCTGTGCTTTCTTTTGCTGCTGATTTCCTTTAGGTGAGAGAACTCTTCTTGAAATCGAGTATTGACTACTCTCCTTATCTCCCCCATACCTTTAAACCAGTTCCACTTCTTCACTTGTACTTAAGAGTGGTTAGCTACTCATTGCTTCAGCCTTTTTTTTTTGTACCAGACAAAGCTGCTTTTATTTTGTCTTTTAAGAAAGAAATGAATTCTAGTTTAAATCCATCATTCTTCACCAAGGCCAGAACTGTACCTGGTTTACCCTTCTGGATCTCATCTGTGCCTTTTAAAATAATACTAGAACTTCCCCATCTTTACGGTAGTTATCTTTCCTGATGTAGTTTAAACTTGTTTCTTACCTCCTGGGCTCCTTCAGATGACACGAACACTTATTTTCACAATGTAAACCCAAATCCCAGGCCTTTTTTCTCCTCTCTCACAGGAAAATCAATGAGAACCAGCCTAGAGCAGAAATTTGTAGCTTTAGCTCTTCAGGTGCTTCACTTCACAAATAGTCCAGCCCTCAGGGTCATGCAAATTTTCACATCATATCTAGGTTTCTCCTTCCTTTGGCAGCACTTCCCATCTTGAAGAGCAAATTTCATTAGCATGCAGCTGAGACAGCATCATTAACAAAAATATTCTAGGAGGTAAAAATTCTTTGCAGACATCTACTTGTGTTCTCTCACCAGCTGTTCTTTACTCATCAGTACTGGCCATCCCTATATACCCTTTACTCACCTTGAAGATTCAACACGAAGTCATCTGTTGCCTCTTTAGTGCTTATCTTCGCATAATCTGCAAGAGATTTTCAGAGAAGTACATGTAAACTATATCCACAGATTACAAAATATAGATACCAGATTATCCTGGCATGACAAAATTTGATACACCTAGCCTCAATTTAGTTATTTTCCCCACCATTTACGATTGTCCTTATCTTTAAAATATACAGCCTAAAATGCTGCATATTATGGAGGTGAGCCTAGAAGGTAAGTAAACGCCCCAAATCAAAATTCCTCTCTTTCAGGAGCATTAAACATGTGCTTTCAATTTACTAGAAATATTAAATACACTTTCAGAGTAATGTGTCATTTATTGTTGTTGACTACCTGGCACTAGCGTTTTTAGAGATTTACTACATTTTGTCAAATTTATTAACATCTTTGTTGGTGACACAGACTGTGGGACTGAGTGCACACCCAGCAAGTTTGCAAATGACCCCAAGTTGTATGGTGTGGTCAGCATGCAGGAGGGAGCTGATGCCATCCAGAGGTACCTGGACAGGCTTGAGAGGTGGGCCTGAGTGTACTTCATCGAGATCAGCAAGACCAAATGCAAGATGCTGCACCTGGATCAGGGCAATCCTAAGCACAAATACAAGCTGGGTGACAAACGGATAAGAGAGCAGTCCTAAGAAGGACTGAGGGATGCTAATTGCTGAGAAGCTCAGCGTGAGACAGCAATGTGCACTTCCAGTCCAGAAAACCTTGAATATCCTGGACTACTTGAAAAGAAGTGTGACCAGCAGTGTGAGAGAGGCGATTCTGACATTTTGCTCTGCTTTTCTGCAACACTGCATTCAACTCTAGAGTTCCCAGCACAAAAAGGATATGGACCTGTTGGAGCAGGTTCAGAGGAGGCCAAGAGGGTGACTGGAGGGCTGGAGCACCTCTCCTATGGAGACAGGCTGGGAGGACTGGGGTTGTTCAGTCTACAGAGGAGGAGGATCTGGGAAGACAGTAGTTAAAGGGGCCTAAAGAAAAGATGGGGAGGGACTTTTTACAAAGGCATATAGTGATAACAAAAAGGATAATGGCCTTAAACTGAAGGAAGGAAGAATTAGACTAGATATAAAAAAATCTTTATTCAAAGGGTGGTGAGGCACTGAAACAGGCTGCCAAGAGAAGCTGTGAATGCCCCCATCCCTGAGGTGTTAAAAGCCAGGTTGGATGGGACCTCAGGCAATCTGATCTAGTGGGAATTGTCCGTGCCCACTAGCAGAAGGTTTGGAACTATATGGTCTTTAAGGTCCCTTCCAACCCAAACCATTTTGTGGTTCTATGATTTTATGAAATTACTTTGCACATGATCTGCAAATTCATGTGCCTGTACTTTCAACATTCATAAATGGAGATATTCATTCTCCTCATTTATAAAATAATAAGTATTTTGAATTTTGCTTCACTTCATTTTGATTTTTCCGAATCCTCACTCCTATTTGTCATCGTGACCACCAGCACTTTAATTTGAAAATGGATGTCATGTATTTATTTGGGTTTTTTGGAGTTATACTTTGGAAATAAAATCCCTGCCATACCCTTGCTTCACAGAGCATTCCAGCTTTTTTTCCCCACTCTCTTCTTTTTTTTTTTTTTTTCCCCTTGGTCTGTTTTTATGTCTATGACTGAAGAACTTCTTGCTGCTTGCTTTGATCTTCTTTTGAAGGTACAGCTCAGCCTGACTCCTAGCAATTCTTACTTTGTCTCTAAACTTCCTGACTTCCAAGACACAGCTTTCTCTGCTGGCTGATCCTTTTTTCCACCACTTGTAACCTCCCTGCATACTCTTAATATCCCCTTTGAGAAGTTTTTTTCATCCAGTTAGGGCTGGGGCCTTTTTTGGTAAAACTTTTGCCCCCTCCTTGTTGGGATCCAAGATACAGATATTTTTATGCTTTTGACTGGAGAAATTCTAAACTTTCTCCACGTTCAAATCCTTGCATCCTTCATGACAGTTGAATTCACGAATCATTTCCTTTAAAATTTATCATATCGACATTTCAGAGTACGTAACATTACATAGTCCTTTATGCATTTAAATCACTAGTATCACTAACTTTAGCTGCAGCTGTGAATGCTCAGCATTACTGCAAACCAGACCCTAGAGTCTCCTGTCAGGACCCCAGAAATGAGGAATGCACAGTTAGTGACCACCTGTGGAAAAGTGTGATCCCTGGCAAAGCAGAAAGACCGAATGGTAGAGGGAAAGATAAAAAAAAATCTACACAATCTACACGAGCCAGTATTCAACCATCACAGAATGCACGGGTTGGCATTTCTCATCCTACAATCCCCTTGTTCCATCACTATACATCTCACAGTTTTTGTAACAGATAATGAAGACAATACCTTGCACCAGTACTCATTTCTGAGTCACTCCCAAAGAAGGTCAGGGAGTAGGTGCCCCGTGGGAAAAAACAGAAGAATTAATGCATATTCCTGCAATTAAAGATGGTATCAGAGAACAAATTTATGGGATAGGATAGGGAAATGTAATCACGATTGAAGGGTTCAGAAGGGTTTGGAAAGTTTGAAACTTTCAGATGCTTAAATGAACAGAACTCTCAAAGTATAATTTTTCGTGAGACTTATCTTTAAAAAAATATTTGTAGTAAGCAAAGTGAAATAGCAGAGTTCCATCGTGTAACTACTTGAAAAGCACTACACTGATGACCATAGGAATTTTCCACACAGATCTAAGAAATTTAGTTTAATGGGATAGCTCATAAGTTGTTGACCTCCCTACTGGCAACACTGATGTAGAGTGACACACTCTGTGCTAGTATATAAGCAAATATCTGTTGACAGCAGAGGAACCATGAGATCTAAATATCACACGTACTGTTCCATATTCCTTGGCTATTCATCTATCCCATGCCGGCATTACTCCTCCTGTCTCACCTTCCCCAACAGATTTGCCTTACTTACCACCTCCCTGCTGTTGACTCAGCATCCCAATTTCATGTTTCTCAAGAAACTTACTGATCCCAGCATGTTTCCCTCCTTGTCTAACACATCTGGGTTCTCAGTCCTTTTATGCATAGAGTTACTTTTCCTCAGTCAGTCTCATTGTCCAGACTACCTGAATTCGCATTCTAATTTGTAGTTTCTTATCTACTCATTCTTGCCACTCTGTGATAAATTTTACTGACCTTCTGCCTATTTATGTTGCCATACCTCCCTTTCCTGCGTTCCCACACGTAGGATAGAAGCAGTCTTCATACTTATCTTCTCATCAGTTGTGTGCCCTCAGATCTTTACCCAGCCAGCTACTTCCAGTTTTCTCCTGCTCTCTGATCTCAGTTTCTCCTTTAGCACACTTTTCCCTCCCTCTCATCCTTCCCCTGCCCAGCCATCTTCTGACCCTGTTTACATTTCCCAGCTGGCACTAAATTACTCCGCTGCATGATCTGCTGTCAGTTCCCCTTTTTGTCCAGGTGGATCCTGCTCTCTCCAAATCTTTCCTCTACCTGAAGTATTCCCCCTTTCTACAGGTAGTCTTAATTTGAAGAACAGCTTCTGATGGTGATTGTGACAAATCACTTTATATATTTGGGACCAGAGGTTTTATTTTAATAAATTCTAAATATTTTGTTCTGTTTTGTTTTTAATATGTTCAATCTATGTCCCAGTATACTGGTAATATTCCGACGTTTGGTGTTAGAAATGTGTGCATCAAGTCCTCAACACCTTTCCATTCTTTCTCCTCTCTTTCACTAAGATGGGAACAGCTCAACCATTCTGCCAGACAGGAAAAAGTTGTTGTACTTTTCTTACGTGACTCACTACAGTGAAATAAACTTGAACAGAACATCATGAGCAGAAACTTGGAATTCTGAATGTAGAGATAAACTAGGATATTGTGAGAGAAAGAGAGGAAAATATTTTTCATGGAAAATTTACAAACCCACAGCGATCATAGAAACTAGTGCAGCTCTATGGATACAGCTGAACTGAACAGGACTCATTTCTTTGATAACTCTATATTTCAAATCAAGCAAGTCACCTCATATCAGCTTCTAACAGCTTTTCAGATAGGTTTTATTTTTACACGGGATGCCTTGTGAGTACTATCGTACTAACTAGGGTGAGAGGTGACAGACTGCAACAATACCCAGTCTCATTTATACTTACCAGCCATAATTAGCTTCAGCAGTGCCACAACCAATACCTCAGACTTAGAGTTTCCCTTCCCATAGTCTGTCTGTTTTGGCACTGTGTGTAGAGCTACTTGGTATGAGGAACTCCAGCTTTGGAGTTAGCACATACTGGGGGGAAACAAAACCAACAAATATACAAAAAATGGGGAAAAAAACCCACGCGACATAAACCAACCAAAACAGTCCAATTCTCTTTCCACTGTGCACCACACTGCCAGATACCAAACAAACCTACTGACCATAGTCTCTGCATGCAGCAAAATGACACCATCCCAGCAGAATGCCGCTTCTGCAGGATCCTGCCATGTCCTAATGAAGACAGTCTGCCAGAGAGCAAAGATTAGCCATGTCTGAGATCTCGACAGGTCAGTTCAATCAAATTCAAAGGCATGTTGGGCGGGTAATTCTGGATCAGACTACTACTACCACTAATGTAAGCCACACTGCAATATTTTAGTGCCAAGGCTTTCATCTGGTGATAAAGCAATGTCTCGGGAATATAACACCAGGCCAGACAAAAAAACAAAAGTAAAAGTGTGTGCGTCATGCCTACACCCCCCCACACAGCATGTTGTAACAGTGAGAGCGTTCAAATTGGAGGTGAGGGCAGTTTTCATTTTTGTATCTGTTTAGCTAGAAGTTAAAATTGCCATTCTATTTTGAATATATAAATAACCGAGGAGTAACTTAAAACCTCAAACTCTTGAGTGCTGTTGGATGGAGACCAAGAAGCCTGAACACTCTATCCGCACAGCTCTGATTAGCTGGTTCCATTTCTTTGCTCAGAATGAGGCATGTTTCAAAATCATTTTAAATGGTTCTTTTGGTGCTGTGCTCTACCACAGGTTAACCATCTCAGATGTAAAGTGCCAGACTATGCTACAAATTTTGCTAAGAAGCAGTGGCTATGTGGTGTCTTGATCTGCCCGGTTGGCTTAGCCAAAGGCCTGGGAAAACCTATTTCCTCCAGTTAAAGGTGGGGTTAATCAAAACTGGGCCAAAGTTTGTTTGCAAGGTTTGTGAACCTTAACAGACCATTTCCTCAGCAGGCCATCCTGGTCTGAATTTTGAGTTCATAATGAAAACTGAAACCTGGCCAGTGTTTGGTGGTTTGGGATTTGACAGAGAGTATTTCACATGGCCCTAGTTATTGGCTAAGGAAATACAGCATGGCTCTGTCTAAAAAGAGAACTAAATCCCTGAAAACTGCATTGGTAAAACAGCAACAGTGTTATTAGAAATGTGCAATGGCAGCCTAAGTATTTTTGTGGTGTTTTTGCAGAAAGCCTGTGCTTCGGATAGACCTGACACCATTTCGACTGCACTGTCCTTTAATTGTGTAGCCCACAGCTCTCTCCACAACTACCTTAGGGTCTGGCTTCTGGCTGCTTAGGAAGATCTTCCATGAGATTAGGGTAACTGTGGTAGAAAAATCAGTACTTTGGGGAAAAAATATAAATCTTTGATAGATCTGCTAAAGCTTCAGGAAGGAAGTGAATTTTTAACATAACAGCTTATACACTTCTCTTATAGCTAGCCGTATGCAGTGTGCTTGTAAATAGTTCTCCTGAACTGAAATACAGCTTTTGCTCACCAACAGCAACAGGAAAAAAGCGCTTAAATCCTTGTATCCAACAGGAAATAGGACTCACAAACAAGTGAAATGTCAATTTGTTATAATGCGTAATACAACCTGTACATGGCAGGACAATGGAGATCATTTTGTGGAAGTCAGTTATGGATATTGTGGGCTCAGCACTTTCCCAGCTGTTGTTTTATGCAGTTCTTCACAGAGATGGAGATGGCTGATGGGCATCATTAGTCCTGATCAGTTTGGATTCAGGCTGCTAGTTCTGTAGCTCTGATAAAGGAAAAGAATACGCACATATTTCAGACTCTCATCTCTGTTATGTATTGCTTTGACTTCGGTTTCAGAAATCCATTGAAATGGATTCTTCCTCTCCTCCATCACTGGTTTAGGAGGTGTACTGAAATTATATTGATCAAAAGACTGAAAAAACAAACCAAAAAAAAAAAAGCAGTTTAGTCACAGTCAGCAAAAGAAGGATACTGGCTATGAGCTAGGTTGGCTAGTATAGTTCAGCACTAGTCTTTGGGCTCCACTGAGGTTAGGGACAAGCCACCAGGCAAAGATTTCTCCCTACGTCCTTATGTTTACACATGCAAACAGAATCTCCCTGAAACAAGGATGAGATTTAAATGAGTAAATCTCTACGTGCTATGATGAAATATATCCCTTGAAAAAAAATCTGACATCTATTTTGTGTTTGTCTCATAAAAGTTAAAAGAAGTGCAAATTTTAGCTGGGAGGGAACTTCCATAACCTAGTTGTAAATCTCCACAAGGAGTGCTTTGCAATTGAAACACTGACAAACTCTCAAGCAGAACAGTGCAAGTGGGTTCGCCAGTAACATCTCCTCCAAATTCAACTCCAGCTCAGTCAGCGTGTCTCACGCCAGCATTTAGAGTCCACAATGAACTAGTCAGTACAAAGAGAGGAAAACAGTCATTTCTGAATTACTGTCCCTTTTCAGAAAATAACCGCAAAGACAGGGTAATTTTGTTACTAGAATGTTGTGGTTCGTATGTTCTAGCAAGAGACTGTCAAAGAGAAAGCAGCGTATTCCCTCTCGTATACGTAAAGAGGAGAAGGGACGGGCCAAGAAATGGGTTACAACAGTACTGCTGCGACAAGGAGAAAGCATTCTGTGCTGTGCTTAGAGACAAATAAATGTTTTTTAGAGTCTTCTTTGTCTATTTCATAAGAATACTTTGTCATTTTCCCCCCTCTAGGTCTGTTTCATTGCTACTTAAATCATATTTCTGCTTCTTAATTTCCCCCCCTTTTTATTATAAGACGAAGCTTAATGAATCTCACAAAATCAATCTTAATAACAGTTATATATCTATCTATCTAAGTGTTAACAGATTTATCACATCAAGATGCCTTAATCACATTCTTCCTCCTGTGCTCTTTCCTGCCCATGGTGCTCTTAAGGCAGAGTGACATTTGTTTTATAATCCCACTGATGGAATTAATGACCATGCTTATTAATTAGGATTATTGGAATTTCCCATCTTTCTTTTTTGTAGTAGCACTCCTCCTCTGCTTGCCAATCATCATTATAACTACTGACTCCATCACATTTTGCTTTTTTTAATGAAATAAAGTGTTTGCCTTGGCCCTATGCCAAGAATAGGGTCATTCCCAAACTTGTAATAACATATCCTTAGCTGATGTTTCTTAGTAACATGTGTAAATAGGAAAAAACAGTCGCACTGTGGGGGTTAGCTTGGCCACATGTGACTACAGTGAAAGAACATGGGAAGAAAATCAGTGGTCTTACCACAACAACCATCCAGTTCAACAGCAAGCGCACAGATACAGAAGAGCAGACAGATGCAAAGTTAACCTCTTTCTATGCTCAGCAGCAAGGTAGAGCAGCGGATCTCTTCTATGCTAACAGCCAGCCCTGTAGCTTCTGGCAGTAGCAGAGATAAGGAGCTGAGTCTCAAAATTGAGTCTAGACACAATGAACTCTACCAGAATATTTTTGCTCATATCTTCTGCTTATGCCTGGCAACACCAACTTGCTGTTCCAGCTAAAGATCAGCCCTGGCATCAGTGATGTTGCAGGTGGCCTAACACACTCTGGATAAAAGCAGAATATAAGTGTCACTATGAGAGATAGGCTAAAGCTGTGAAGTGTGATCCGGGGTTTGGATTTTGGATGAGTCAAGAAATTTGAGATCAAGGGTTTTGCTGACTGCTGCAGAAATGGGCTGCCCTTCAGCTTGGCTCAGACTTTGATGCTCCCAGCAATAGAAGTTCAGGAACTTTGGAACCAAGAGTATTCAAACTCGCAGAATAAATTTGTCCCATGCTTTTCTGCAGAGTACAATTTTATAAAAATTGAAACTTTATATGGATAAACAACACAGAACAGCAAATACACTGAGCATTTGTGAAGTTATCCTAAATTTACTTTTCCTTTCAGAGGCCCCAGTGACCGCCATTATTCAGATTTCCACAGTTTGCTTCAGATTAAGTGGGTTTAAAGTAGTCATTCTGCAGTGGAAACAGTTGCAGCTGAAGACTGCTATTGGGACAAAAAGAGAGAAATTTCAGACGGTGCAGAACAGTTAATCCAGCAGGCTATCCCTAAGATTCTGGATAAGGACAGGTCTGGGAGACAGACTGCCCATCTTTACTGTGAGCAGAAAAAGTCCTTCCTGCTGTTGACTGCACTTTCAGAACCAGCCCCAGTGACAGACCCCTCATCCTCTGCTCTGAGAACTGTCCTCAGGGAAAGCTGGAGGCCGTGCAGCACAGCCTCATCTCTGAGGGACAGGTGTCACACAGAAGTATGAACACAGAATTATGAAACTACTGTGATCAGTTTGAGCTGGAATTCAGTAGTGCTGAGGAAAACTAGAAAATAACAGGTTGTCAAAGGAGGAAACAAACAAGACCATAGTTTAAAGAGTATTAATTCTTTCTCCTGTCCTACCAAAGCTGGAAAATTTGCCTTGCCCCTCCGCAGAGAGACAATATGCCCTTGATGTATTCATGAGATTTCAGCAGAGTGAACATATGCTCTTCCTCTTTACAAACCCCTCTGATTCTTAGCAACACAAGCATCTTCATCTAAAGATGATCCAGTGCAAACAAACAGGTTTGTAGTTGTTATTGTTGTTGCTGTTTTGCCAGGACAGATGAGTTGATCATGTACTGGGGGGAACACTTCACGTGTGGTTTAATGGGTATGGCAGGAGACCAGCAGAGAGAGCTGTTGGGATTTGACACTTGCTGAGATGCTGGCGTGCAACAAAGCTATTTTAAGGCAGATGAGGAATGAAACAACAATAATCCAAAGCAATGTGTTTGGATTATCATTTCTACTGTGCACTAGGACATAAAAGTACAACCTCTCGACTGGTCCTGGATAGAATAGTGAACATTTTGTTTTTCACATAAGCCCAGCAGAACTTTAACATGACTTGTATTGAAGCAGGTGTCCTTTCTACTTTTCACATACTATAAAGTTTCCCATATGGGAAACTGGAAAATAAGTTCAGATCTTGGCCGAAGCTGTGGTTGTTGTTTTTTTTTAATCACTCTGTTGGCACAAAGGTATTACAGAAATGATTTAGAAAAATACCCAAATATTTCCCTGGTGTGGATTTACCAGTGGGAGTTAGCTGGAGATTCATTTCAGTGAAGGCAAGCTGGGGTAAGCATGAGGCCAATTTCATTTTCATGTGGCGTTGATCTGAGTAGAAGTCTACGAGTACTACTGCCAAAGAATCTCAGAATCCCTAAAATGTTTAACATTCACTCTTCGCTCTTCTTTATCCTCGTATTCTTTCCTATGTCAGATCCAAAGCTTTTGCTATATTATGGATTCCGTATTAGTTATAGTAAAATTGAGATGTCACACAAAACTATGCACTGCTCTATCACAACACAGGAAACAGTGGGAATAATTCACCCAAGCTCACTGGGTTAAAGCAATTAAAAAAGCAACAACAACAGCTGGAGTTAACTGTGTTTCCCATATTCAGAAGATGTCTCTGAAGATCATGTACGTTACTTGGTGTGAACACCGTAAAAATAAGTACCATGATACCAGAATGGGAATTGTTATGCTATGAAATTGATGACAAAAGTTTCAGGATGAATTCCTAAGGATGCCCAGAACAAACGGCAGGTGCCCAGCAGGTTGGCCTAATGCTCATCCCCTAAACAAATAAGATGTGGTTTCAGATGCACAGTACTCTTTACTTTGATGAGAGTACAGATATTTTATTCCTACAAGGCTAGAGACAGTCACTTAGTCAAAATCCACCACAGCTGGAAACAACCAGAGCAGGGAAATGGGAATGATTTTCTGTGACAGCTGATACACCTTTCCTCACATGGAAGGCTCCTCACCCATGCATTGTGACATTTCTTCCTGTGATGTCTCTGCTCCAGCACTTTCACACAAAGAAAGGATAAAGATCAGATGACCAAAGTTATGAAACATGTCATTGACAGCATAATCTCAGGAAGCATGCCACACATTTGTCACCTTTCTCTTTCATTTGCCACCATGGGTGCTGTGATACAGCTGATTCATGTCATGGACTAAAACTTGGAGTTTGAATATGATTTTAAGGGAATCATGTAACAAGGAGGTACTTACTGTTTAGATAGCTGCTTGGCACTTGACACAGACATCTCTGAAGAGACAGGAACAAAATAAAGCCTCATGTGTAGAATGTAGAATAGGATGCATCAACTATGTTCAATCTGACTGCTGTGAAAAGCTGATTTAACCTTGACCAGAGATGCTGGAAGAGAGCCTGTGTGAAATTAAAGAAGTAGAGATCAGGGCCAAATCCTCAGCTGGTAAAACTGTCAGAGTTGCACTGAGGTAAATGGTGTGAAATCCCCACATGGGACAGCCCACGTTGCATCATCCAAAAAATACTTGAAAGTATGAAACACCAGTGAGCAAGTTCAACAAGAACAAATGGTTTACAGAGTAAGAAAAGCTCCAATTGATTAACAAAGGTCAAGCTTATGGGCCAGTAAATTTCCCTTCATTTGATCAATTTTGCTTTAAAATTCAAGTGGAAACCATCCTTAAAAATAAGTCAAACAGTTCACACCAGAAGAATGTTCCATGGTTGGGTAACAGTATGATAGTAAATCAGATCTTTTGGTAGGCTGAGCAAATGCAGAACAAACAATAACTAAAATGAAATGGTAGCAGATCTGTGTCCTTTGAACCAGACCACAGACATACACTGTGCTTTGCAAAAGCAGCATGATAGCATGTTGCTGAAAGCACGCACAAAACTAAACCCAAATGTTTTTGGCTTTTTTTCCATCTTCAGTCCCAAAAAGTCATGAGGAAGTTGAGATATGAGGACACCTCAACTGCTTTCAGACAGGTCATGCTGCTACGTGAGGTCAACATTACTGCTGCTATTAACTTCAGCTGAATCAGGTTTTGGCGTACTGGATTTAATTTATCACATTACCAAAGCTGTACACTGATATAAATCCACACCAGAGCAAAATTGAAATAACACTGTAGTTAATCAGGCCTAATGAAGCAATAGCCCTCAAGGTCAGAAATGCAGCTGTATCTCTGATGTTAGGATTAATACTTGCTCAGCTTTGAAATTAGCTAGAGACTCTTGCTATAGATGTCATAGATCACATATGGAGAGATTAATCAGTGCAACCCTCAGATCTACATTATCTGGAGAAAAATGCCAGAAAAAGAGGTGCAGTAACTCTGACGATCTATCTGCCAAAAGAAACGCCACCAGCTAAACAGTGAGTGTGACACTTCATTTTCACTATAGGGATGATGCCTAACACCAAAAGTAGCCACAGGCTCATAAACCTCTTCTTGCATTCCAAGTGAAAAAAGAGCAATATATGTTGCACAAGTTATTGAAGAAAAGGAATGGCATACATGTTCCATCCCACTATTATCAAACAGAGCATTTATGTGCTCTGAGTGACCTGCTGTAGGTATCTTTTAAAAACTCACTGATTAAATCTCTTCAGGAACAATTATCTACATTCTTGGAAATCATAAGATACTGAAAATAAAGTCTGCTGTGTCCACACTAATCTTTCCTTAACATACTCTAAAAATCAGTACCAGAGGAATGAAGAAAGTGAAGGATTTGTAATTGCTAGACGATTTAATTTGCAAAAGGGGTTTGATCACCTGAAACACAGTGACATTTTTTTCTGTATAATGGAGAAATTATACTGAACTTAAATTGAGTTATATAGACAATCTGCCCAAGGAACTGGGCAAATGGTCCATACAACTGGCAGAAAGACATGAAAGACATGATTTATCGCAGGAGTTTCTTTTACTGGCTCAGGTAGCCCTTGGTTCAGCTCTCTCTGTACGGTGACACAATGACTCTGGCCTCAACAGTCCTTGCTGAGGCATTTTCTCCTGCAGTCATTTTGCACTATTCTCTGTTGCTCATCCTGTGCCCACATCGTGGCAAGAGAATGAGGCCATTTTTGGAAGCCATCCTTGAAATGCCCACAAGACACTGACTAGCAATCTGCCCTGCAACACATAGCACACTGTAGTATGGTAGGAGGAGTACTGAAGTACTAATACAGCACTTTGAGAATGACAGTAATTCTCACTGAATTATATTCCTGCAAAGCAGTGTTTGTGTAGCATTAAGAGATGCATACAAACAACCATTTCAGATATAAGAATTCTGTTAATTTATTTTAAAATACTTTTTATGAAGTTGCTTTCCTGGTTAAGCACCTCTAAAAGGAAGAGGTATTTAGTGCAGGAACAGTAGAGACAACTCTCAACAACACAGCAGCCTCTGTTCGTTCCTAACTGGGACACAAATATTGTGCCTGTATTGATAAGAGAACTCTGTCAGAATGTTTCAGACTTCACCAATGTAGAACTGTAGAATCATCTAGGTTGGAAAATGCCTTCAAAATCACCAAGTCCAACAACTCTTAAATACCTCTAAGGATGGGATTCCACCACTTCCCTGGAAAACCCACTTCAACTCTTGATCATTGTCGTAATATCCACCTAAACTTTGCCAGACACAACTTGAGTCTGCTTCCTTGTGTCTCATCACTTGTTACCTGAGAAAAGAAACTGACAACCATCTCATTACTTCTTTGCATGCCAGTTCTCTTTAATGAATTAAAGTCATTTAATCAATGACTTGAATACAGCTCTTGAAAGTATACTAAGTGAGTGTGCAGAGGACATCGAACTAAGAGGAACTGCTGACTCCCTTGAGGCTAGAGAAGTGCTGCAGAGATCTTGACAGAAGAGGGCTGGGCATTTAGCAATTGCATGAAGGTCAGCAAGGATTTTGTACCTGGACCAAAGCAAGGATTTTGTACCTGGACCAAAGCAACCATAGATATATGTACAGATGGGGATGAGCAGCTGGAGATCCCCATGTGAAAGGATCTGGAGGTTCTGGTTGATGGTAAGCTGAGTCTGAGTCAGTAGCGTGTCCTGGCAACCCAAAGGGCCAATTGTACCCTAAGGTGCATCAGGCCACACTGCCAGCCAGGCAAGGGAAAGGAGTTGTCTCACTGTGCTTTGCGCTGTGTGGTTGCACGTCGAGCACTGTGTGCAGGTTTGAATGCCACAATAAAAAAGCATAGAACTTTGGACATTAGAGAATGTCCAAAAGAGGGATATGAAGATGGGTAAGGGTGTAGAGGGCAGTTTGTTCAGCCCAGAGCAGAGGTGCTGAGGAGAGGCCTGATGGCAGCTGCAACTGCACACAGGGAGCGGAGGGCAGCGCTGAGCTCTGCTCTGTGTGACAGCGACAGGGCTGAGGGAATGGCATGGAGCTGTGCCTGGGGGGTTAGGGAAAGGTTCTTCACCAGAGGGTGGTGGGCATGGAATGGCTCCCAGGACAGTGGGCATGGCACCAAACTGTTGTGGATGCCCCTTCCCTGAAAGAATATAAGGCCAGGCTGGATGGGGCTGTGAGCAGCGTAGTCTAGAGGGAGGTGTCGCTGCCTATAGCAGGGAGATTGGAAATAGATGTCCTAAAGGTCCTTTCCAACCCAGACCACTCTATGATTCTATGATTTTTAGGTGGTTCTGTGTGGAGCCAGGAGTTGAACTCGATGATGTTTGTGGATCAGGTAGCTGTAAAAAGCAGTGAGACGATCCCTCAGCCTTCGCTTCTCCAGACTAAACAGCACCAGTTCCCTCAACCACTCTTCACAACCTTTGCTTTCTGTCTCCTTCACCAGTTTTGTTGCTCTCTGCACATGCTCAAGCGACCTTCCTGTAGCGAGGGGCACAAAGCTGAACAAAAGATTTGAGGTGTGGTCTCACCAGTGCCAAATTCGAGGGGACAATCACTTCTTTTGTCCTGTTGGCCACTCTATTTCTGATGCAGCATAAGGTATTACATAACGTAACACTTTACCTATATAAACGGATTGCTTTCTAACTGAAATTTTACATTATTTTTATTTTTGTCTCTATCTGCAACTAGAAATTAGAAATGGAAGATAATCTGGTTTTAGGATGGATTAGACCCACACCAACTACAAATAAAGCACACTCCCTGCAGACTTTCAGGGTCAGAAAGCTACCACAGGCACAGTGCTCCCCTTTAGTTTTGCATTACCTGACATCCACTGTTTTGTAAGGACGTTGTAAGCAAAGAGCATGTAAATCACCACAATCTCAGGCTTTTAAAAAGACAGAAATGGATATAACCTTATAGCCTCAGAAGGAGAAATATGATGAGTCCAGCAGTTTAGGAAAAACAGAGTATCATATAGGTATTGAAAAAAAATAGCAAATGGCAAGAGAAGTTTTGTTTTGGCCTGGGACACATGCCTAGATAAAAGATGTGATAGTTCCAAAGAACACAAATGCAAAAAATTGATTCAGTTTACGAAATGACAAACTATGGGAAAAGCAGGAGAGAATTTGACCTAAAAACCTATTTCTTAGCATATAATTCCTACTCTAAAATTCAAAGAAAAGCCAAAACTAATAAACAATTGTCACAGTGTCGATGTTTATTCATATCAAATCATTATGTGCAAGGCGAAGAATATCAGCAGTTCAAATTACTGGCTGAACACCCAGTGAGGTATATCAATTGCTCAAAACATTCACAGGACAAGGAGATGGCTGAGAAAGCCTGCAGCAACTCAATTCCTTAAACACAGCACAAAAGGCCAGCAAAGCTGCGTGACTGGATCTCCAGAGTGCACTGCTGAAGAGTAGGGGCTTCTTCTGCGTTGGTGCCACTGAAAGTATGAATGTGTGAATTGCTGTTCAGGTCACAATTCTGCAAACTGATGTGAATAGCACATTTACAGTTGTGTTATGCAGCGAAAGAAAAAAATCTGTGAGGAATGACACATAGAAAATCAAAATAAAATTCAGGTGATTGTGGAACCAACATGCCTTTACCAAGGGCAAATCATGCCTGATAAACTTGGTGTTTTTTATGATGGAGTTACAGCATCAGTGGGAAAAGAAAGAGCAGATGATTTCATCTACCTTGGGTTTGTGCAAAGCACTTGACAGTGTTCCGCACGGTATCTTGGCTGCTAAAATGAAGGAAAATGGATCTGATGGATGGACCACTTGCTGGTAAGGAATTGGCTGGATGGTCGCACTCAGAGTTTTGCCATCAGCATCTCAGTGTCGAGTTGGAGACCAGTGAAAAGTGGCATTCCTTAGGGATTGCTGATGGGACTGGTGCTATTTAAAACCTTCACAGGTGACACAGAACGTGGGATTGAGTGCAAGCCCAGCAAGTTTGTGGATGACACAAAGCT